TGGCAACAGGTCCTCAAAATCTTAGTTTCTACTCCCTCCACTCACTTCCCATCCCAACCCAGTGAGTCTCTCAGGTTCATCTATCTCTTCCATTGAGACCATCCCTGCTCCCTAATCTTCTCCTAACCCTAACTTTCCCCCACATTAGGGCAATCACCTCCCAACTCATCCCTTGTTTCCTGACCCAGCCAACCCATCTCCTGCACGTATGCCAAACTTCTTTCCTCTATGAAGTTTCAAGCAAGTTTCTACATGCTACAGATGTGGCAGGACTTCCTGCTTCCTGGGACTGGCATCTAGCTTCTTCGTCTAGAATTGTGGCTTTCCATAGTGTGCCCCCACCTTTCCTGTCCTCCTCATTTCCTAACAGGCCCTGGGAGCTCCCACCTCTGTACCTTTAAACCTGAAGTTCTCTCAGCCCATGCCCAGCTTTGTCTCTCAGTTGCCATATGATCACATTCTCTGATTCCTGAAGTATTGTGAATAACTTCCCCTCCCCCTCCACATGACCTATCGACCCCTCTTCAGAAATTTATCCCACATGGTGTTGCACCTGTTCCTCTATACCAGCCTGAGAGCTCTTTGAAGGCAAGATCTGTCTTTGTGTGTCTAGTAACAACATTTTGCTTGTTATACATTCTGCAGAGCAGTGGCCATAGCATTTTGCGTAGGAGCTGATGTGTCAGTGGCTTTAAATTTTATCCCTACATTCATTAACATGAAAATTAATCATGTAACACATAATAGAAATTGTTTATAGAGATACTTATAGAAGTTAGAATATTATGAATGTTCATTCATGGCCCCAAACCCTGGTCCCCTCTGCTACCTCTCAGAAACTACCACTCTTACTGTTTTCATATATATTTTCCAAGTCTTTTCTAAACCATTTTCCATACATATCTACAAACCCATATAAAACACAACAGCCTTTGTGTTTAAATAAGTATATTTAACATAAATGTTATTATATATGTATCGTTCTGTAATCTCTCTTTTTGCACTCAACAATATATACACTTTAGTTTATATAGAAATAGATTGATTTTCTTAGCTGCTGCATAGTGTTTTTTGTTATGAATATACTGCAGTATTTGCAGTTATTTCTCTATGATGGACATTTAGGTTATTTTTAATTTTTAGGTGTGAGGTTGTTGCAATAAGTATCCTTGTGTTTGTGTGGAAGTGCTTCCTCAGGAAGTGCAACCCCTTCTTGTCTGCTGACATGACATATATCAACAACTTGGTAGATCCCAGCAATCTGCATATTTTTAATTTAAAAGGAATTCCCAATTTGTCCTCCAAAATGGCTGCATGAATATATACTCCTGCAAGCAATGTATGAGAGGACATGATTCCCAACACCCTTGCCAACACTTTCTCTTTTCTGTCTTAATCCCTTTTGTTAATCTGATGAGAGAAAAAATGGTATTCATTATTGTTTTAACTGTGTAATTGTTTTAATTGGCCAAGTACCTTTTAATATGTTTACTGGCCATTTGTATTTTTTTTTTTTTTTTTGTAAATTGTCTGTTACTTTCTTTCACCATTTTTCTATGAGATTGTTTATCTTTTTTTTCACGAGTTGTAGGAATTCTCATTAAATAGAATACCATCATTAAATAGAATAACGACACTAAATAAAATAGCTTTGCCCTGGACATGCCCAGCTAAAAACCTGTTACTTTTTCACTACTAGAATTTGTGGTTTTTACTTATTGGGCAGGATAAATTAGAGTGGATGTGAAATTGCCACACCAATTTAAACCCTTCAGAGCCTCTTCATCATCAATGAGGGAAAGATCAAATTCTTTAGCTTGGCTCAAAAGGGCCTCTATAATCCATCTACCTCCATGGTCTCAATTTGATACCCAGATTTGATTCCTGATTCCACCATCTTCTACTTGCCTAACCTAGAGTAAATTTACTTAATGCTTGGGATCTAGGTTCTGTCATTTGAAAAAGCATACAGAGTTGAACCGGCTTCTCAAGTTTTTTATCTTCTCAAGTTTTTTATTCAAGTTATTTAACTTCTCCAAACCTTGCTTACACATCTATAAAATGGGTGTGTTGACGGTGCCTCACAGGGTTTGGTATTGATGAAACTTACGTGAAGTAAGTTTATGTGGTTGTTAATTTTACCCCTTCTTGTCTGCTGACATGACTCCTACTCATCTTTTGTGATCAAATCAAGACTCTTCATCCCACCCACCTCCAAATAAAAATAATCTCTCTCCTTTGTGCTAAGACCATGCATCTATTACTGTACTTTTCACACAATATTGCAATGATGTGTTCATGTTCCTCTTTCCTCTACCAGAGTGTGCACCCTTGTAGAGAGGGTTTTAAGGGGCAGGGTGTACAACATACCCAGTAGAAGACTGTGCATTGAAAGTATAAGCCTGTTTATCACTTTTGAAAAGAATAGCACTTCCTCATCGTGCCAAAATTTTGTTGAGCCTGCAATGGACAGAGGGACTTAGAAGAAAGCTGAAGTGTTCCTGAAAAATACCCCAGATATATCTTGGGAGAAGCCAGGAAATAGATTTGCTCTAAGGCACATCAACACTGCAGCCTCACTGAAAAACTCCTCTGATTGACTAGTTTGGCAGGCAAAAAACATATTTAAGGGAAACTGCATTTTACAGTCAGGGTTGGCTCTGTTGGGAAAACCAAGATGATAGATGAAGGCTGCCGAGCATCTCTTGGTTTTGGAGGTTTGTCTTGATCTGGAAAGGAAGCACTTGAAAAGTGTAAGTTTGGGGCATGGAAATCTTGGAAAGCAGCATGGAGGGAGGGCAGACAACCACCCTAAAAGGATGTCACCTGCAGATGCATGCTACACAGGACTGCATTATACTCGAATGCATCAGTCCCCAGCACCATCATACTCTCTGCACATGGAAGGGCTTAGTGCAAATCCAAGGGAGATGCTTGTTTGGAAGCAAATTGTTCTGAATGGGGATGCGTTAACAATCTTTACTAAAAATCGCGGAAATCCTCTGTGCTTATGTAATGTGGCCATGGGTTCAAGATTATCTGTTTTGAAGCCTCTGAAAACAGATTCTCTCAGAAGGGCCCCAAGTGTGGATGGTGAAGATACAGGGAGGTCCTATCTGCTGAGAGGGCTAGCCATGCAGGGCCCATGTACTGTGCCCACCACTCCGAGGCCCCAAGTCCTTGTGGATGGGTCTAAGTTATGAACATGGGCCTGGAGGGCACAGAGGCACTACAAAGTCAGCCCACTTTCCCTGACTTGTGTCTGAGTGACTAGAATTTGGTTCCTTCCCAGGCTGCTTGCCGGTGCCTTCTCCAGGCATGTCTGTGATGTAAGAGAGATGTCAGCAAGCAGTCCTAGTGCAAGCTCTGGCCCTAAGCCAGACACAGTAGAAGGCTTTTACCATTATTAGCTTTCAATCTCATAACACTCCTATGAGCTAAGTACTCTTCTGGGCACCATTTTATAAATTGAAAGTGCAGGGGGTTGAGTAATGTACCAAGGTCATCAGGTTGTCTGATTCATGTCCATTGGTTTATCCTCTTGGCTATATGGCATCTGTGCTTTGGGGGTCTGTAGAATTCCTCTGTGCCTTCAATGCTCTGCTCTTTCCCCCCAACCTGTGTGCAAGGTCATGGCTGCCATCCTCCCCTGGGTGTTGGGGACCATCTAGCTCCAGGTACAGAGGCTGTACCTGTTTCTTCCTTCTCCAAACTTTGACCTCCATCCTTAATATCTCTTTCTAGGACTATAGAAGTAGCCTCTTGGTGGACACCCTGTCTCTGATGTTGCCACCAGCTCTCGACCCCCTAAGCTGCTCTCACAGTCAACTTTTTAAAATATAAATCTTCCCCATAGCAAGCACTCAATAGACATCTGTTAAATCAATCATCCTCTTGCTTTAAATTTCCATTTTCTAGGGTTAAGTTCACAAGTTAACCATGGCTTTTAAGACCCTTGATATGTGACTCCAGCTCCTCCCCATGCTGTCTCTCTTAGCATTCCCTGCCATATGCACATGGCAGTCTGTCCAGGACACCTGGGTCCTGTCATGCTTGGTCCTACTGTTGTCCATGTTTTATTTCCTAACAGAATGGGTTACTCACCTGGGGAGCATCCTGGCCCACATGCACATGCTTCTGCTCTCAGGTTTGAGTGCATGTCTTTTCCTCACCTTGGCCTGTTAATTCTGCAAACATTTCCCAAGCCCACAATGAGTCCTCACAGAAAAACATCTGGGAGCAGTTTGTGCCACATACGCATATAGCTGTGTGTACCACCCCCTGTCCCAAAGTGAAGCATACTCTTGTTTCCACATATTTATGTTAAATGCTGGTCACAACCCACTAACTTGATTTTATAACAAACATATAGTAAATGACCTGCGGATTGAAAAGCTTGGCACTGGCTCACTTATTCCTCACAACAACCTCATCAAGTTGATAATATTATTATTTCCCATTCGTATCGGATGAAACAGACACAGAGAGATGAAGTAATTCATTCCAGGTCATGTGGCTAGCAAGCAACAGAGCCTGGGGGTTGTACCTGGAAGGTGGCCCTAGAGCCAGCACTACCACACCCACAAATGTGGCTTTGATGATGAGTCAGGGCTGGAGGGGTTGGGTGACTTGGTGGGACAATTGGCCATCTTAAGCCCAGCTCAGAGGTGGCTCCCAGCTCCCTACACTTTTTTTTTGAAAGAAAGAGCTGGAGCATTCACATCCCCCTCTAGGATCAAGCTACAACTGTGGGTGCACTCTGTCTAGAGAGTTGTTCTTGCCCCTCTGGGGGTGGGGAGGCAGTTAGCTTGTGCTGTAGTGAGGGGTATTGGGATAGTCTCCTCATCTGTGGTCCGTGCTCAAGGGTGAGGCTGGGACCAGGCAGAGCAGGGGTATTGGGAAAGACTGGTAGATATGTACACAGGACTGTAAACTGCAGGACAATGGCACCCTCAATCCTGCCATGATTGTGTGCTGACAATGGCCATTGCTTCACATACATGAGCTATGATCTCCTCAGATTTGTCACCACTGTGTCCCCAGAACCTGGCACTGTGCCTAGAACATGTGAAAAAAATAAAAAGTGACTCATTTGGAGGTGTTCTCAAGAAAGAAAGTGACCAGAGTTCTGACCCTTTCTTATTGAGGTACAATAAGAAACACATCTGAAGAACCCTGGGGACCTGCATTGTGGACATGTGGCAAGATAAGGCCCTAAGAGCGGGTCTCTGGGAGAAAGTTGGGCCAAGCAAGATGGGATTCTGACCCCCTAATTCCTGGTGATGTCATTGGAGATTCTGGAGGAAAAGCCTATATCTTGGTGGGAAGAACTAGCCCCTTGGAGCATGGGCAGGTGGCTTGGGACACCCCTGGCAATTCTGGCCACATGAGTCCAGTTCTACAGAAGCCCAACTCAGGGCTGTCTGAATGGGACAGGGGAGTCCCTGAATAGTCCTGGAGCTCTGGATAGTGCCACAGGCAGGGATGCAGAGACTTCCTACCTAGAGATGTGGATACAGGTGTGCCCCCCACACACAGGTGTGTGGGGACCCTGCAGTTGGGAATGGCAGCTGTGAAGCTGTGAGGGAAGGTTAGTAGTGAGCATTCTGATTCAGTTGAAACACGATCAGTTTTGAGTATCAAGAAGACTAGCCACTGCATTGTTTTCCCAGATAATTAAGATGCTATTAATTAAACTTCATTTAAAGCTAGTTTCAAACTAATACTTGATGACACCTATACACATCCCACATAAGGAATATCTCTGTCTCCCCCAGGCCATAAGGCCCCAGTGGGGTGTTTAACCATTGGTGGGGGCTCCATGCCTGGCCAGGCTGGCAAAGAGTGGACTATCCCTGGGTTTGTAAATGAGCAATGACAGGTGGACAGGTTCCATTTCCTCACTTGAACTTCTTGGATGCCATCTAGTAGCAGACTATATGACCTGGAACATTCTTTTCACCTGACCCCAGATATTGAGCATATTCTAGCATCCCAAGTGGAGTGTTATGGTTGATGGGTTCATAAAGCCTCTGTCTGTCTCCCAGTGGCTGGAAGAAGGGAGAACAGCAGGGCCAAGCCTTGCCCTGAGTAACCCTTCTCAGCCATTCTTAGTGAGTGACAGGACCCACTGAGCACTCCCAGGGGACTTAGAAAGATCCCAGGCTGTACCCCATGTGGAGGGCCACCAGATAAGACCTTCTACTCATGATGGGAGTGAGAGGTTGGCTAGCTTCAAACCCTGGTAGGAGGGATGGGGAGAGGCAACTGGCTGAGGATCAGTCCTGGGCATTTTTTGAAAGATAGAGGAAGAGAAATCTTTCCTGAGCAGGGGGTGAAGACTGGCTGGGCTGTCCCAGACCAGAATTGGGGAATAGGGGAGAAGACAGAGGTCACCCTGTGGCAAGTGCTCTAGGTGGGATCCTGGGCCAGGGGGGCCAAGCATGGGGGTGAGGCACTGGAGTGCAGAGCCCTGAGACTGGAGGGGCTGTGTGCCAGGCCCTGGGGAGCCAACTAGCTTTTTATGACAAATTGAAGGGAACCATATAAGAACCCTTATGTTTGGGATTTTTCTTAAAGATACAGCCCCAGATGTGGGATGACTGGTCCAGATGATAGGACCGTTTCACACCTCTTAATGGATAATGCTAAATGGCTTTCGAAAGGCATGATGCCAGATTCCATTCCCACTAACTATGAAAGTGCTTCTTTCTCCCCACAATAGTACCCAGGTTTATTACCTTTAAAAAACAACAAGCTAACCGGGGAACCATATCATCTTGTTTAATTACTGACCTTTGATGATTAGAAGTCAGTGTCGTGACCTACCTAATGGCTTCAGGCACTCTGGTCTAGACCCCATCCTCACTGCTGCTGGACAGGTCTTCAGCATGCCTGCTCCACCCACCTCGGGTCCTTTGCACATGCTCTCTCCTCTGCCTGGAAAGTAACCCACCTGAAAGTCTCACTCATTCCCTCATCTCCTTCCCATCTGCTCTTGTCAATGAAGCCTTCCCAGACCACCTTGCTTAAAATTGTACTGGGTACTTCTCATCCCTGTTGGATGCTTAATATTTTTCCAGTGTGCCTGTCTCCATATGCACAGTCTCTGGATGGCTTGTTCAGGAGGCCTAGAAATCCCAGGAGACAACCGAGATCTGCCCTGGAAACCTCCATGCCTCTCACATTCTGAGTAGCCATGCATCAGGTTCCATGGAACTGGACCAGCAGCCCCTGCATTGAATGATGGGAGAGACAGTGACCCATTGAATCCCGTGTGAGGCTCTACCTTCTAATTAGTCTTTCAGCATCAGGAGTGGGGTGTGGAGATCCGGGGTGGGAAGTTACCAAGCAAAGAGTTGGTTTGGCCTTGCTCCAGAATTTGGGAAAACAGTCTGAGGCCTTGGAGGTGAGATGAAAGATGGGATCTAGGGGTGTTCTGGTGGAAAGGAGGGCTATATCTGATAACATGTCTGTCCCGGGAAGTGGGGCTCACCCGAGAGGATAGCCGCAGAACTGGTGATGCCCAGAGGAGGCATGGAGAAGGCAAAGTGGCCAGGATCTCTGATGAAGGAGGCAAGACCTGGGAAGGGAATGTGGGAAAGGGAGAAAGGCACTAATAGCATGCAGCTGCAACCCTAATGGCTGACATTACTGTGCACTGGCCATGTGCTCTACACAGAGCAACTTTTCACACAGCACCAATTTACTCCCCCAGCCACTTGTGAGCTAGCTACTAAAGATCCGCAAATCCGTATCTGAAACCCTGGGGCACACAGTTTTGGCAATTGAAAATACTGGATATTTTAGGAAAATAAGATGGTGCAAATACCGTATCTTTTATAAGTCCCCACAGGATCTGGAGGATCACCTCATAATCAAACACATTAATATTTTCTGTAGAGAAATATATAAATATTCACACTTTGCAGAATCAACAGACCGTAAATAGAATCATCAATTCAGGCAGGTTTTGCTACCAAATGAGTTAGGTCAAGACAGACTTATGAGTTACAAAAAATTATTTTGGCTTTTATTGATTTTTAGATTTTGAAATTGCTGATTAGGGATTGTGGGTCTGTACTCATCCTCAAACAGGTTTTGAGAGGTTAAATGAGCAAAAATTACAGAGCTAGGAAGTGCAGAGCTGGGGTTCAGGGGCAGGCCTTCTGGTTTCAACAACAGGCTCTTAGCCTGTGCAGCACTGGAGGGGCACCTACTATTGTTATTACACCACCTATGTCTGTTAGAACATTGATAACGTAGCACTGAGAGTCCTCTCTGAAATCAAAGATGGCCAGAAACAGGACATCCCAGTCATCACAGGAGGACCCAAGCCAGAGGCTCATTGTGGCTCAGAACCAGTCCTCATCTCTTGCCCAGGTGCAGAGCCCCGGGTAAGGGGTTTTCAGATACAATATCCCACATGATCTTAACTACTTCCTGAGGTAAGGGAAGATGACCTCCATGTGCTGACAGCCTACTTGGTACTATGTACTGTGCCAGACATTGATAGGCTTGATAGTTTTGTAGTTTTTGCTCTATTTTATAGATGTAGAAATTGAGGTGTGGAGAGGCTTGTTAATTTGTGCAAACCCAGCAGAAAGTGGCAGAGCTGAGACTGGAACAGGTCTGTCTTCTTTTGGAGTCCATGCTCTTTCAGTTGCTGCACAAACCTTGTTCCAGTGCTCTGTAGACAATAGCATTTTCATCTAATCATCTACCTCCAGTCATCGCTGGGGGATTATACTCATGGGGTGTGACTGTAGACATAGCCCAGGCTTTCATAAGAGAAACCAGGGCAAAATAGGTGTACTATGAGAGCCAGGTCTGAATTTCCCCTCTAATTTATCAACTGGGGAACTATGGAAAGAGAGAGCTCCATAGCTGACCTCCAGCACCAGAGCTGGGGAGGGGCCAGGGCTCGGGACTGCAGATCCTGTTCCCTGGCATTGATCATAGGGTTCTTTTCCAAAAAGAGATCCAGATCAAACAAGAAAAATGCCAACAGGAAAAGCATCCCGGCAAGAGATGGGGTTAGGCTGGAGATGGGCCACAGTGTCCATGCCAGGACAATGGGGATGAGGTGGCCAGCATAGGAGCTGTACTTGCAGACACAGGGCTCTGACCTGCCCACTCTCATTTTGGAGCTGGATACAGGTTTAAAGCAGTAGGCCGCCCAGTCTGACAGAGAGTCAGCTGTGCTTTATTTCTTTCAAAAATAAGCAGTTTAGTGGCCAGGCAGAAGCTATTTGGTGTAATAAGGAAACACGTAACCAACTCCTATAGTACTGCCTGTTCATTTTGGAGAAGAAACCTGACCAGTGCTTGGCTGCAGGATTTCCTGAGTCACCAGAGGGCTTGTTAAAATGCAGCATACTGGGCCTTGCCACCAGCAGTTTCTGACTCAGTGGGTTTAGATTTGTGTTTCTAACAAGGTCCCAGTAGGGACCTTGTTTGCCTCCTTTGTTTGCCATTGCCTGAAATTATCTTTTAACTCCTGTGAACAGGCAGAGCTAGTCCGGAGCCTACACTTTAAAGACCAGGGGCCTGGATGATTCCATTTCTGGTCTTTGCTGCCACTCTCTGGTCACTCTGGAGCATAACATGTTGTTCCTCTGCTGTGTCAATTACCTGTCTGTCCACCTGGATCTTTATTTTAATTTTTATTTCACTGAAAGTATCTTCACTGAAATACATTATTTTCCTTGTAAATTTCTCAATGAAGATTTGATTTACATATTAGGCTTTAAAAGTCATCAAATTTTGCCACTATAACTTCTACCTCCATGAGTTTTCTTTAGGGGTCATTTTTATTATTAATTCATCTACTTCCTTAGTCAATCAAAAATTTTAATCTATGCCGTTTTACCTATTGTATTTTGTGTTGACTATTTTAAACAAATTTCTCCCCTACTCCAAGCAATTTGGTCAAAATGTTGCTGGAGTAAAATGGCAGAGTCAAAATGTCTCGCTTTGTCTGGGTTACTTTATGATTATAAACTGACCGCTTTCTAAGAAGAACCAAGAAATCATCAGAGCTGGAAGACCTGGATTTGAATTCAAGATCTGTTCTTTGCTGGTGTGATCTTGTGTGAGTTTCTGTTTCCTGAGGATTCAGTGAGATAATGTCTTGTAAAGCCTTTGACCCATAGAAGTTGTTTTAGGGTCTACAAATACCCAAGCTTCATCCTCTCTCCAGGCTGGACTATGTTCTGATACTTTGTTCTCCCTGAAATAGAAATAGCAGGCCACACAGAGATTGAGTGCAGTCTGAGAGTTTCACTCCTCTTTTATGCCCAGTTGTATACAGTACCGTACAACCTCTAGGCATTATCTGCAGGGGCAGCTGGGATGATCCACATGGCCTTGGTCTGTGGATCTGGTGGGACTTGCTTGGCAATGGGATAGGGTGGGGAGATCTGGCAGGTTTTCCTGTGGCCTCAGTCAAGACCCTGAAAGGACGGTCGGGTAACTGTTTCAGCAAAAGTTTGGAACAAATGTGTGGGTCCATGGTGACAGCTATGGGTCCGTGGTGACAACATTTCCTTAGTCCTATTTGGGGCATAAAGAGACAAGTTCCCCCCACCCCGCCCCCCCCAATTTAGTTAAGAAATATATCCAAAAATAAATTAGCAGGAATTTTAAAGAAAGGGGCTTTCAAACATCTGCTTGAGACAGAAGATACATATCATCCTCAGAGCAGATTTGTAGATGACTTTTATTTTGGAAGACACAGCTGAGGTCTTGTTGTACCATGCTGAATGACAAGGAGATGGTCTATTGTCCATCTGTCCCCAAGTGAGGGAGAATCTTTTCCCAGCTCTGCTCAGCATTGCTGGCCCCATCTAAGGGGATGGGATTAATCAGGGTTCTAAAAACAAAAAAGAAGAACCAATTAGGATGTGTGTATATTCAAAGATAAAAGAAAAAAATATGTATATATATTTTTATTTATGCCTACAGCACCTGGTCTTCCTGAGTGGTCTCCCATCCAAGTAATAACCAGGCCCGACTCTGCTCAGCTTCTGAGATCACACACTGGGCTTGTTCAGGGTAGCATGGCCGTAGACCATGGACCATGGCTCCACTGGGGCACAAATCCAGGACTTTCTGCATGTAAAGCAGACTTGCTAACCACTACACCATGGAACCACGTCCAAGAAAAGAAAAGATTAAGGAATTGGCTCATGTGATTGTGGTGATACAAAATCTTGTGCTTCTGCTCTCTGCCTTAAGAAGGTCAGCTGACAAGTCTGAAATCTGAAGGGCAAACTAGCAAGCTGGAGACTGATGGAAGAGCTAATGTTGAAACTTGAGTCCAAAGGTTGGATGCAGAATTCCTTTTTCCCTGGGGTACCTCAGTCTTTTTTCTGAAGATCTTCAACTGATTGTTGAGGCCCACCCACATTATGGAAGATAATCTGCTTTACTCAAAGTCTCTAATTTAAATATTAATCTCATCTTAAAAATACCTTCATAGCAACATCTAGACATCTGTTTGACCAAACGTCTGGACACCATAGCCTAGCCAAATTGACACATAAAATTAACCATAACAATGAGCCATAAGGAAGTGAGTCTCCCAAATGGTGGTGGTCAAGTTGGGGCAAGGAAGGAGGCCTCTATGTATCCTTGCCTGAAACTATATTTTACTTTCACTAACACACTGTGAGCAAGGTGAGCACTGAGCTAGGTGTTGGGGGTGAAGGTGAAGACCAATAAAAGTGTGCGATACACCATCTCTGCACACAGGCCCACCATTTAGTGGAGCTGACAAGACTGACTCTTTGATGAGTTCAATGGTACTGTTTGTGTACTATTTTCTCCTGTGCATTTTGACCATGACTCTCTGTGGGAGGGATGGACTTCTCTGCCCCGCTGGAGTGGGGTTTGCCTGTGTGACTTGCTTTGTCTGATGGAACTGTGATCAGGGGCTTTTGTGTGCTTGAGTGATGTAGTTTAGAATCTTGTGCTCTGCCTTCTACTTTGAGAAGGTTGTATTCCAGCAGTGCTGGTCCTGCCTGGAGCTACCTGCAGCCAATAGCATCTGAACCATAACCAACCCCAGCCCAGAGAGAGAAATTGGTTCTTGTTGCTATAAGCCACTGAGCTGAGATCATTTGTGGTGTAGAGTGGCTGTGGTGGGAGTTAACAGTGTAAACCCCTACTCTCTGCTGGTCCTTGGAGGTATGATAGGAAGCACTGTTTTGTGAGACCTCAGTCTCATTGGGATCTACTGTGGTCCAGATCCTGGCCATACCACTCAGAAGTTGTGTGCCTTGGACACTTATACACAGTAGGACAGGTGCTTGAATGGAGGTACACAGATTGTTTTTTGAACATCCAGGAAGGGACAGCTACTGCAGTGTGAAGAATCAAGAACAGTTTCCCCAAGGAATGAGGTCTAAGCTGAGTCCAGAACTGGCATAATCTAGAGGCCTGCTTTTAGCCCTTATTATATGCGTGTGTGCATATATGTGCACATGTAATTACACTTATGACCTACATGCACAGATATGCACACACACACACACACACACGTTAAGGCTTCCATTTTTCTTCTTAAATTCATTATGATATCCATATGCCCTTTGCCCTATTACTAGGACATCTTACAATGGCCTCCGTAAACAGGTAACCATCCCTGTTCCTAGTCCTATATAATTATTGGCCAATTTTAGAGGGGATGGGTAAGCTTGCTATATTTGTGCTACTGTCCCTTCTTCATGCTTGGCTGATACACTCATTCCTTGGACCCTCCCTGTGTGTCCTGCGGGGTCTGTGGCACTACACAAGGCCAGACAGCAGCTGACCCAGACCCGGCTCTAGCTGAGGTTCAGCCATCAGTAACACTGTCTTCTTCATGTGCAGGGACTGGAAGAGTACCTGTACTGCAAACTCACGCTGACCAATGTGTAGGGACCACTTTTTCAGTTCTGTGGAAACAATGAAACAGGCCTGGAGTCAGGATATTTAGATCTGTATGTCTCGTAAACAACATTACGTAGCCTCAAATTTTGCTTCTGGAGACTCTATGAAGGTGACAGGATGAGCTGCTGATGGCCAAACTGCAGGGCAGAGGAGAAGCTTCTAGGGGCATTGAGAGGTGAAGGGAACAACCTCCACCTACCTCCTCTGGGACCACTTTGCAGCCGATGTGTGTGCACATCCTGCTATACCATTTAATCCTCTGGTCTTAGGTGATGTCTCTGCTTTTGTCTGAGTGACAGGTTTTTGAGATGATTTCTATGGTATTTAGAATAGCCTAAAAGAAGTAAAATTACCCCACATATTCTGGATGGGGGGCAGAGATGAAGTAAAGAGATGGGGAACCAACCCCCTAACAGTCTGGCAGCATTAGGGAGAGAAAAGCCACACAATAAGGTAAAGACTCCTTCTTGGGTCCTCAATTGGAACTAAGGGCAAATCAGAGTTAACCACACCGGAGAGAAAGGCAATGACTTCCCAGGAAGAGGAACAGCTCATGAGCCTGAGAGTGAGCCTGCCATTCAGACATCCACATGGAGTTGGGCAGGGCTAGAGTGAGATGGTCAGGTGGTGAGAAAGGGTAGAAGGGAAGTCTGTGCATCCATCACCTCGCTGGCTCTCAGCCTAAACTAGATAGAGCTCATCCCCAAGGCTCGGAGGGTAGCATTCTAAGCAGAGAGTATAGCATAGATAAGGATGAGTTGGGAGGCTTGGCTGACTGTATTACAGGTATGAATTTGCTTCTCATTTTATTTTACTCCTTTTGGGTTCCCCGAGTCTTCTTCACCTTGCTTAAAATAGCCTTAATACCTTCATTCATCCATTGACTCATCTACCCATCCATCTTTCTATGTGTCTGTGTCTACCTCTGCTGGGTGATGGGAACACAGAAGAAAACAGCCATGGCCCCTGCTCTTCAGGTTCCAGACCCAACAGCCTTTTTTCATGTGTCTTGGTGATGAATTGTTTACCCTATCTTCTCCTGACCATAATATCTTACTTATCTTTCAAGTCTCACATTCAGTGACT